TTTTTTTTTTCCTTCCAGCCACTTGGCTTTCCTGGATGGCAGGGGCTTTCCTAGCGTGGCTGCTAGGAGTGCTGCCTTTTTCTCCATTCTTTTTTGAGCCTCCCACTTGGCCGCCTGTTCTGTTATTGTACACCTTGTTAGCAATCCCTATTAGTTGGCTTATGCTCATTCTGGCAAAGCCCTCAAGTTTCTGAAGCTTCTTCCTGATGTCCAAGGCTGATTGGGAGACAAACACTGTGTTGACCATTCTCTGGTTGTCTGGCCCTTAGGATCAAATGAGGTGTCTATTCCATAGGCCTCACACAGGTGTTTGTAAAAGTCCCCAGGGCATTCATCAGGCTGCTGAGTCCCATTAGCTACCTTTGACATGTTAGTAGGCCATTGGGCCCCCGCTCAGATTCCGTAGAGAAGGGCATCCCTGTATCTCTGAAGTGCAGCTCTTCCTTCCTCTGAGTGGTGGTCCTAGTCAGGTTGTGCCTCAGGTGCTGCTACTCTTGCCCATTGGTCTGGATCTAAAATGCCCACAGGCGCTGTGGTCTCTAGATATTGGTGGGCTTCCTGGAGAATGCGCCTTCGCTCCTCAGTGTTGAACAGCATGAGGAGTAGCTGTCAGCAGTGGTACCAGGTGAGACGATGTGTCTGCATGATGGACTCCATAAGGTCAGTCAGGGCCTGGGGTTTCAATGAGTTGGATGGAGTATGGTGCTTCCAGTTTAAGAGGTCAGTGGTGATGAATGGTTGGTAATAAATGATGGTCTGTCCTGGCTGCTTGGTACCATCTGGCCAAATTTGTGGCAGGGCCTGGGTCTCCCTAAGAGGCATCTGTAGTGCCTGTCATTGCTGGTGCCTTGTCAAAACTGGGGAGGCCTGGGGCACTTCTGGGGCTGGTGCTGGTGAGATAGATGGTGGTGGAGTTTCGATTTCAATTTTGGGGGCCTGGGAAACCATTTCAGGTGCATATGGGAGGGTAAGTGGATGGGTGTTCTTCCTCTGGGTCACCTTTGAGAATGGGGTGTCTGTGTGCTTCCTTAGATTGAGCCACAAGGACGTGGGCAGTCTCTCCTTGGCAAGCTGAGGCCTTTTTCTTTGTTCTAGTTACCCCTGCTGTGCTGGCTTCTGCCCAGCACAGCGTTGGAGCCACTTTGGCATGTCCTGAGCTAGTTGCTGCTGTCTATGTAGATGTACTCGTCTGGGTGTCCTGGCCTCTCTGGTACTACCAGATGTACTGCCTATATGATTCCTAGATTGAGGGTTCCCTCAGGGGGCCAGCCTACCCCAAAACCAGGCCATTAAGCTGAACAGAAGGTTTCCAGTTGGCTCGGGGTCATGCTCAGATCCTGGCCCTGGAACCGATCAAAGTTTTGCAACATGCAGTCAAGTATTGTTGATGGGCCTCCTCCCATGATTTTTCCTCCCATAATGGCACAGACAGACAAGGAATGGGGATTTTCAGTTTGCCCACTTGGCTGCTTCTCTCACAGGGATTTAGGTGCCTCTTAGCTTTGGCAGATCAGTATAAACCCTGGATCATGTTCACAGGAAGGGACTGTGTCCCCCAGAACCTGATACTGCCCTGAGCTATATAAGGTCACCATGGTACCACAGGTTGGGGCCCACTGAGACTCTGTAGGTTGGTACTGGTGGAGCCACACAGATATTCACACTCATTCACGCACTGACATTCAAACGAGTTTAAACATTCCCTCCCTTTAGGGCTCGCTCTACCTGGTGACCAGAAGGCCTGAGAGATGATCAGTCTCTCCTTCTACCTCAAGGGTGGGCCAGTACTTGGGCTCATGGTCCCCGGGGTACTCACTGGTCCTGAAGCTGTGCAGATCCTGAAACTGAACCCGTTCATTTCCCCTGGCAGCCCATATGGGGTGTGAACCTCTCCGGCAGCTGGCCACGGAGCCCGGAACGGGCAGGGATCCGAAATGACTGGAGCACGTGTTTCCCTCCATCACAGGGCTCCACAGAGCACCCACACAGCCACCTCACTGGTGGTAATCGCCTGCTTATGTGAGTCATTTCCTAGTCAGGGAACCAAAATGTTATGGAAAAGACTCAGACCAAACACTGGAGGGAGCAAAGAGGTTCCTTTAATCATGCATGCGGATCCAGAGGAGGCAGTCTCCAAATTCTGGGCCCTGAGTTGTAGGGTATGCCTAGCTTTATAGCAGGCTGGGTGGGGCATTCTTTTGGCACAAAAACAGTAAGCAACTTATAGAAGCAGGAAGCAAAAGAGGTCATTTCATTTCTAAAATGGTGGCTCAATTAAAATGGTGGTTTACTTCCTTTAACAGAATAACTGAATTCATGACCTTCCCATGCTAAAAGTATGAGTGAAAATTATTAATTCATCTGATACTATCTCCCAAAGACTTTTAGAAGTCATTTGGCATGCATATACTTCACTAAAAGTCAGCAGTTTCAGAGCTGAACTTGTACTACAGAAGATCCAGACTAAAAATAATTTTATGTTTGACAACATGTGTGTGTGTGTGTGTGTGTGTGTAACTAGAGCATCCCTTGGGGCCTGGGCTGTGGTACCATCACTAATGGAATCTACTAGCTCTAGCTTTGAATGCCAGAAGGATAGCGTTCTTTGAACTTGACCAATGGTTCCCATTCCCTTTACCTTTGGATGGCATCATTGGATAAAGTCATGCTTTATTTTGATGGGAGAGAGAGAGATAACTTAAGAAAAAAGAGAGAGGACTTCCGGTCAAGATGGAAGCGTAGGTAAATGCGGTATCGCGTCCTTCCACAATCACATCAAAGTTACAACTAAACTACAGAACATCATCATTCAAAACCGCCTGAAATCAAACTGAATGGAAGTCGTACAACTACAGAATTAAATCAGCAGCCACATCCAGACTGGTAGGAGGGGCTGCGGCATTGGGCTGGTCCCACACCCAAGTGTGGCAGATAAAAATCAGGAGGCTCCCATGGCTGGGAAGGTCCTTCCTGAGGACTGAGGGGTCCCCGTCCCACACCAGGTGCCCTGCTCAGGGTTCCAGTGCCGGGAAGAGAAGTCCCCATAACTTCTGGCTGGAAAAAACAGTGGAAACTGAGGCTCAGGGAAGCTGACCTGGCTGGAGCCCCAGGCAGCTCCCTAAAGGGCCCGCGCATGGACTTATAGGACTCTCTCCCTCTAAGCTTGGAGGGGAGGCAGCTCAAGGGGCACCAGAGACATACAGGGAAGAACTGAGCTGTTTGGCACTGGAGCAAGGGCTGGAGAGGGGCTTTCTCGGGGACAAACGTGCTGTAAGAGGCCTTTGTTCCTTTGGTGAGCCCTTCCGGGGGGCGGCAGACAGTCTCCATATCTGGGACTCCAGCAACCTGGCTCACACTGGTAGCCACGCCCTGCTGACTCCCTGAGGCCCCACCCCACCCCACCCCACTCAACTTTCAAGCCCACCCAAGCTGTTGCCACTTGCTTAACCATTGGATTGGCCGGTCTTGGATCCTGCTTCAGGTTTTTCCTAAATTCTTTCAAACGAGCAGCATCTGGTCTCAGCGAGCCCCATACCTCTCATTAAGTAATACACTGAAACAAACACAGGGAGGCAGCCAAAATGAGGAGACAAAGAAACAGGTCCCAAATGAAAGAACAGAACAAAACCCCAATAAAAGAACTAAGTGAAATGGAAATAAGCAACCTAACAGATGCTGAGTTCAAAATACTGCTTAGAAGAATACTCAATGAACTTAGTGAGAACCTCAGTGAACTTAGGGAGGCCTCAAGAGCATAAAAAAGGACCAGATAGAAATCATGGATACACAGTTAGAAGTGAAGGAGGCATTAACTGAAATAAAGAATAATTTACACAGCTTCAATAATAGAGTATGTAAATCCAAGGAGCAAACCATCGATTTGGAATATAAAGAAGCAAAAAAATCCCCAATCAGAACAGCAAAAATAAAAAAGAATCCAAAAAAATGAGGATATTGTAAGGAGCCTCTGGGACAACTTCAAGTGTGCCAACATTCTCATCTTGGGGGTGCCAGAAGGAGAAGAGAGAGAACAAGAAATCGAAAACCTGTTTGAAACAATAATGGCAGAAAACTTTCCTAACTTGGTGAAGGAAACAGACATACAAGTCCAGGAAGCACAGAGAGTCCCAAACAAGATGAACCCCAAGAGGCCCACACCAAGACACATCATCATCAAAATGCAAAAGGTTCAAGACAAAGAGAGAATCTTAAAAGCAGCAAGAGAAAGGCAGCTAGTTACCTATAAGGAAGTTCCCATTAGGCTGTCAGCTGATTTCTCAAAAGAAATTTGCAGGCCAGAAGGGAGTGGTAAGAAATATTCAGAGTGATGAAAACCAAGAACCTACAACCAAAATTATTCTATCCTGCAAAGTTGTCATTTAGAATCGATGGACATATAAAAACTTTCCCAGACAAGAAAAAGTTAAAGGAGTTCATCACTACCAAACCGTTATTATATGAAATGATGAAGGGTCTTTTTGAAGAAAAAGATAAAATGTATGAACAAACAAAATGGCAATGAATACATATCTATCAACAATGGAATCTACAAACAAAATGAACAGGTAGAACAGAAACATTCTCATAGATACATTTTGTTGGTTGCCAGCTGGGAGGAGGGTTGGGGGAATGGGTGAAAAAGGTGAAGGGATTAAGAAGCACAAATTCATTGCTAGACTGACAAACCTCAAAGGGAAAGGGGTTGGGGGGGGTGGGAAGAAATAAACCAAAGAACTTATATGCATAACCAATGGACACAGACAATAGTGTGGGAAAAGGTGGGAGGGGGGCGGGAGTGGGGAGGAGGAGGTCAATGGGGGAAAAATGTGGAACATCTGTAATACATTTTACATCCAACAATAAAGATTTGAAAAAAAAAATAGAAAAAAGAGAGAAAGTGAGAGAGAGACCTTGAAAGTCTTTAATTGAAATGACTAATTGCCTTTTGTCTCTATGATTATTGTTCTATATATTTTTTTCTATTCTTTCTGTGAGTATAGTAAGGATAGATGGGATTCTCCAAACACTAATCCAGATAGATGCAAACTCTCCATTATCAAAAATGGTGAAGAACACATCTAAGAATGGGAAGTAAGTGAAAAATGCCCTTGTGCAACTAGCATAGCTATTACAAAGCCTTGTGCTGTTCTCATTTTGCCATTCATTCATATTCATTTAACAGGGATTTGTGGAATGCCTCCTGTGTGCTTCACACTGGGCTAGTCACTGGGGAATTTAAATGGGTGAAGAAAGGGTAAGAAATATTGGGTGAGAGAAAGAGGAGGGAAGGGAAAGTTGGGAGATGACTTTGGAAAGGTAGCTCTTAGGGCTGACTATAAAGGCCAAGGATTTATAGCAATGCAAGATTTGTACTATGAATTTTTAAAAATTAAGGTAAAAAGGAGCACTGATCAATCATTTTATGATTTGCAAAGTACATGAAATTTTGTCTTTGATTCATACACAATGATACAGGGTTGATTTAGAAGAATATAAAAAGACATTTCATAAAAGTCCTGATTTAAGTAGATGTACATTATAATCATATCACTGATTTGCATAATATGTATATTATTTCCCTTGTAACCAGCATGTACCATGTCCTACCTGAAACTGCCTTTTTGGTATCACCAAAACTTGTATTGGCTGAATATTTGTTGTTATTTTAGATTTACTGCTTTGGGCTAATTCCAGAAAATGATATTAGCTGATCTCTCTCTTTATGGATTCAGCAGAGCATGTCAATCTGAAATGGTATGATCCCCTGCAGATGAAATATCTCCAATTAGTGGCTGCAACCCTTTGGTGAATGGCTCAGGTTCTCTTTAAGCTCTCTTTCTCTGGTGTATGGGGCATTGTGACAGGCAGAAATACAGCTAACAATGAGTACCCAGGCCACATCTAGGAGAAGATGAAAGATGCCTTTATCATGCTAAAAGCGGTAATCTAGCTATAAGATATGTCACTATAAGAGCATGGCTTTGCAACAAAAGGTGAATTTGTATGGTCATATTTTTTATGTATTCAGCATTGGACCATAAATGCTGCACTTTTAATATGATCTTATATCCAATTCCCAAAGTGAAAGATCTAGTGGTTTTATATATATATTTACCTCTTTTTCTCTTCCTGAATGCTGCTTCAGGTTTGCGTATAAAGTTGAACATGGGCTATCCTGGAGGATATAAAAATTGGTGGTGATAAGACTAAATCTCAGAGCAGTTAGAAGTAATTTTAGTTTTTTATCACTGAGCACCACAATCAAAATGCTCTCTAAATTATGAAGGAATCCCTTCCTTCATGTTGATGTACACATTCCCAAGCAGGTCAATGTTTTCAAATTAGTCCCAGTTCATTGTCAGGGCGCACTCTCAGTTAAAAGAGATGGCATTGGAGGATCAGTTTAAATTACCTCATGCTTTCAGAAATGACAGGCCCTTCCTAGGCACCTTGAACACATGTGTCACGCTGACAAGGCAGGGCAAAATCTCCATTTATTAGACCCTGATGTATAATTATGTGTGTGTGAGATGAGTGTTGCATTTTTTAAAGGGGCATTCATTGTTTTGTTTCTTTTGGCTTTACAGGAACTCAGCCTCTTACCTTTTGAGTGAAGAATTTCAGTGTGAGCCACAAAAGAAGCAGTTGGTAATGTCTGAGTTAAGATGACATAAGAGAATGCATACCTAATGTCACACCCAAGTTGTTAACAATAGAAGGCCAGCATAAATACATTCTTAAGTATATAAACAGGATCTTATATCACACTTCCTACATTTGGACACATCCCAAGGTCATGCCAGAGTGAGGGCTTCCTTCTTCACATTTTCTGAGCTAGGTGCCTCTTATTTACCATGTACATGACTCACAGATTGAGTTACTTCTCTTTAATTCTTCATTATTTTGTTGACTATTGATGTAAAATAAAAAGTTTTCCAATATCCAATTCCTCTTCATGAATATGTATGCCAGCTATCCTTTCTCTTACTTATCTCCCATCAGTTTTCAGGAGGTTTTTTTTTTTTTTTTTTTTTTTTTTTTTTTTTATCCTCACCTGAGGATATTTTTCCATTTTTATACAGATAGAGTGGGAGGGAGAGAGAGGAAGGGAGAGAGAGAGAGAAACATCGACGTGAAGGGACACATCGAGTGGCTGCCACCCGCACGACCAACCAGGGCCAGGGACAAACTGCAACCGAAGTACGTGCCCTTAGCAGGAACCGAACCCGGGTCTCTCCGGACCGCAGACCGACGCTCTAACCGCTGAGCCAAACTGGCCAGGGTTTCAGGAGGTTTTTTAAAAAATTCTGTCTCTGAACATTTTCTCCTTCCCAGGATACTTTTGTCAACAGGAGCAGTACTAATCTTTCACAAATATGAGGCAACTACTCGGGGAGGCATTTTTTACACTTTTTAGAACAGTGTCTGGTAGTGGTTAGGCATGTGTGTTCTAACTCAGAGAGAGTAGTTATTTCCTTTTATTTTTTTGGTTTGGGAGTATGAAGTGGTGAGGGACTGTGATAGGTAGATTTCCGTACCCAGGGCATATTCCCATGGTGCATTTTCACACCAATCAGCAGCATTGAGGGTGCTGCTCTGCTGGATTTTCCCATGTTATTTGATTTAATGACAGTGGATATGGTGCAAATTTAAAGAGTTTTTCAATGTTATTCTGAGTCTAGATACAGGCTGGGAGATAGAGCGAGTATAATTTTGTTCTCTGAAAAGAAATTGGGTCTTCTATTTTGAAATGAAACAAAAAATGCAAATGTCAGGTTGCCTCAAATATACATCATTGCTAAAAATAATAACTGTATTGAGTGACTACTATGTGTCAACCTCTTGATATATTTTGTCTCATAAATCCCAACACACCAAAAGCTCATGAAACAGGTACTATTATTATTTCTATTTTATGCATGAGGAAACTGAATCTTGGAGAGGATAATGTGTGCCTACATGGGGTCTCCAAATGAACAATTTTGGAAAAGCCCTTCTTTAACATTAATATTTGTAATGATAATAATTACAATATATTGAACTTTAACTTTGTGCCATTGTGCTAGACCCTGGGACAAAATAGACAAATACAAGATACAATGAGCACTTTCAATAAGCTCACAGTCTTAGTAGAGGAGAGACAGAGGATGGTGATGTGGTGTTTACAGTGAGGCAGTTATAGGGTGTTGTTGGAGCAAATGCCAGGGCTGGGGTAGGGAAGACATCATGTGGGGATGTCAATGAAGGCTTCTGAGAAATGACCCCTGAGCCCTTTAATTATCTCCACTTATCAGGCAGCAAGGTTCAGAAGAGGAAAATGCAAATTAGTCACTAAGGTGGGCAGAATCCTAGAATGCTGATAAGAACAAGTTGGAGTTGTTGATTAGGTCGAAGCTAAAACTGAATGGCCAATTATGCTCTGTTTTCTAACTTAAATCCATCAGGGGCCAGCTGACATGCAGTATAGCATGTTGAATAGCTTAAGAAACCTACAGCTTAAAAGTTGTGTCAGTTCTGCTTGCTGTTTCATTGCCTGAATCTGAAACGTGGTAGCCAATCCTCTGTTTTGTGGAGGAATAGATGGAATGGGATGTGTCTGAGCAGCAGAGCCAGACTGCCCTGAAAATGACTTTGAGGGAGGTAAATGCAATTTCTTCTTTGCCAACATACAGGACATTAAAAAAAAAAAAATCAGTGTAGAGCCATACCTCTGAGGTCAGGAAGCATAGGTTTTGCCGAGGTTGACCCATGACCAACTGAACCAGGCCTCCTCATTTAACCTCACATTTAATTCCCTTTGGTAATGTGATTCTGTTATTCTGTTCAACACATCAGGCTACAGTCAATCCACTCACTGACCCTTTGGGTTTTTCCCAGCAAGTACTTTAACTGTCAAGGCTGAGCATACATTGTAGCCACAAGAGCCATTAAATTTTTTTATTTTGTATCACAACATACTTTACATGAGACCAATCCTCTTGATGAACAAATAAGGACATGAAGACTTAAAAAGGGTCAGTCACTTCCTAAAGTCACATATCTAGTTAATTTCAGAAATCAGCCTAGAATTCTGGTCTTCTCATACCTATACTGTGCTCTTTCTACTATAATGAATGACACAGTTCTTCTCTCAGATGGTAAGATACTTCAGCAAATCACACCAAAGGATGTTTGGAGCCTGGTCTTCAGGACGTCTAGCAGAGTGCACTGCCCTCCATATACCATGATACCTGTGTGGGTTGGTTCTGTTAGCCACTGTGAAGATGGAGACTTTTGGAAAAAATTAGAATCATTAAACTTTTAAAAATGTATCCATAATAATTATGAAAGGAAATAGCATGCACTTTTCAGATGTTTTACTTTTCTTTCAAATAACATCATTTTGGTTGTGTTTGGACAGTCACTTTTTTTCAACATTATTGTTAAGCAATCTCAAACATTTAACACGCCACCACTACATTCAGGAAACAGTACAGAGAACTCATAGATCACTACAGCTATTCTTCCTCAAATTAGCCAACCAATGTTGAGGTGGTGTGTGTGCATGTGTGTACTTGTGTGTGTATAAAAATTCAAAGGCATCAATTAAAATATTAGTTTGAAGGCAGTTGCAGATTATGATGGAAATCAATCACTCCTCTCAGCCTGAAATGTTTTACACCTAGACTCAGACAAAGGCCAAGTTCAATTTTCAAATACTAGTGAAGGCCATGAGTATTATATGACTAGGGAAGAGCACCCAAACACAGTGCCTGGTAAATGATACCATGAATTTTCAGTTAAATTATATAAACTCTGGCTAAATGAATCAGGCTAGGAAGAGAGAAAGATGCTAAAATGAAGAAAAAGGTGTACAGAAGGAGAATATGAGATAACCAAGTCAAACTTTGCTCACTTCACTGATCTACCCAGAGCCTACCCTGGTAGCAGATGCCACAGAAAGACTGACTAACCTGTCTTTGAAAAATTGTCTCATAGCAAATAGACCTGTTTAACTATTCAGCAGCCAGTCTAGATGAAAGTGGTCAGGAACACATAGCTTCATAAAATAAACACAACAGGTCTAGGTTTTGGTTGGCAGGGGCTAAATG